GAGTGCCGAATGTCCCCCGCCCCCGCTCCCACCACACCTGAACCGGGAGGGAAGGACGGGCTCGTCACACCAGGAGCGCGAATCCTGGGGTCCCGGCCTGGGCGCCGATCGCGAGCCCGCCTTTCTCGCTAGCAACTACCCCGTGTGAGTTCAACGCCGGTCTTAAAGATGGCGGAAGGCCCTTCCTTTTGTGGGGCTGCGGCTCCACGTCTCGGTCTCCTTACGAGGAGGGAGGCCGGTACACGAGAGTAGGTGCGACCCCACGGGCCCTGGGGTAGGATGTGAGCCAGGCAGGGCCAGACCAGAGGGGGTCTGCCTGTTGGCAGAGACGGATGCAATGGGATGTGAAACGTCCAGTGGCCACAAGAATGCGCGGTGTTTCCTGGGGACTCGAGGCCTGTGAAGTCTGGTGGACAAGCTCTCCACAGCCATGGGCCCCCGTTCGCTGTCCCCCGGTTATGGTCAGAGCCATGGTTCGGCGTGCAGGAGCCCAGAACAGAGAGGAGACTGCACTTAAACATCCACAGCCAGCTCCGGATGAGTTCAGGAAGGAGAGTGGAAACCAGCCGTGTAATCAGCTAGCTAATAGATGACACAAAAAGGACCCCCCCCCGACCACCCAGCTCTGGGAGACCAAAGCTTCCTGTAGGAACCACAGGTGTTCCAGGAACATGCCAGCAGCCCAGTGCCCCCGCTGCACCCCAGGATCCGGTTCCTGGGGTGCAGGGCGCCCACCAGGACCAGAAGCTGAGGAGCGCGGTCTAGATTTAGGGACCCAACCCATGCTGTGGATTACAGCGAACACTTCTAAAAGTGATGTGATCAGCACGTGTGGGCAGAATCCGGCCGGCCTGGCCCCGAGCATCACTCCCGTCTGACGGGCTGCTGGGCGGCATTCACGAGAATTACAAAACACTCCCACTGACTCGATGTCCCTGAACGGGAGCTCACGCACCGACTGCCCACCTGCCCATCACAGCCGATGCAGGCGCACTCCTGTTGTGGGGACCCCCAACCTCCCTTTACTTTCTGGTCAACCCCCTGGCGCCCCACTGGCTCACTGCCTCGGAGGAAATCAGCAGGTAGATGTCTGTGTTCACCGCCTGATCCTCACCCGACCCCCCCACCCCCACGCCAGGCTCCAGCCTGCAGTGCAGCGGCAGGTGTGGGCAGGGCCTGGCCCCCGAGCCCCTTCAGGGGCTGGGGTCCGGCACCAACACAGCAACAGGGCTGGCAGAACCCTCAGCCCCTACGCCTAGGAAACAAACGTGCACTTTGCACGTGTTCACCCGAGAGGATTTCTTATTCTGAGAGCAGGAGATCAGGATGGGCCGAAATTCATTTTGCACGGAAGGTTTTCCTCCAAAGGACCGTGACACGTGAAGAGTGTGCTCTTTCCTCACGTGTGGGTCCTCCCGGCCAGCCGCACACCCACGCCTCCCGTGTGCTAGACCACGGGCCACTGGGTTGCACTCCAGCGGGGAGGGGGGATGGGGGGGAGCGCAGCGCAAGTTTCCCTCCGAGGGAACCCCATCACCGAGGCCCCGTGGCGGCCCGGTGGACACCAAGGCGTGAGCCTCTCATCCACGGTGGCCACCCCCACTTCCATGCTCCTCCTCAGGTGGGGCTCCCACCGCCTGGCTTAGCGCCTCCTGCTCTCCCAGCTGCGTTCAGGGCGCACCTGTCACACGCCAGCCTGTGCAGCTGCCCGCGACCTGCTCCCACGTGTGCACCCACACCCGCTCTCGGGGACAGAGGCGCAGCGTGCTGGTGCAGCCCAGGTGGCAGGAGAGACGGGGCGGGTCTCTGGCCACCAGACCGCAGACACAGGTGTGGAGGGCGGGCGGACGCACAATTCCCACGCACGCCGCGAAGGGTCCGGGCAGGGCTGTGGCGGCCTGCTGTTCCCACCCAGGAGGCTGTGGAGGGTCACCCTGTCGTGGGAAGGCCCATACGCATCACAGCCCTGCGTGCCGCGCCACGGGCACCCGTCCTTCTAAAACCCCTTTCAGTAAAGAGGCTGAAAAAGAGGTGGTCACGGGGCTCACTTAAAGCCACTGGGTGGTGGGGGGCAGGACGGGAGCCCAGGACTGGGGGTGGGGAGCCCTGCAGGGTGTCCCCGCATGGCGGAGAGAAGCCAGGACGGGAGGCAGCGTGAAGGCTGCCCGAAGCGGCTTCCCCGGCGGGATCTCGGGCGCATCATCCAGTGCTCAGATTTCTCTAGAAACGGCTCGGGGAGGCTCGCCGCGGCCGTTAGGGTCACGGCAGCATCGGGACCTTGCGGGCCCAGCTCAGGACCTAAGGCAGCCACGGACAGCGACCTGGCTCTCCCAGAACACGCACGCTCGGGACAGAGTTTTTCTGGAAGGGCCCGCAGTCTCTGGCCCTTGCCCTGCTAGGTTAAGGGGCGAGGCTCCCTTCGGGCACCACCTCCGCATCTCTGAGGGGCTGGCGGGGCCCGGGGCTCTGGCTAACCTTCCGCTGCTTTCTCCCGCAGCCCTCCATCATGTGGAGCTGCGGCCCGCTCAACGGCACGGGCGGCGCGGAGGACCAGCCGCTGTGCCAGCACCTGCATCTGGTCCTGTCCGTCTTCTCCCTGCTCTACCTGGTGGCCGGCGTCCCCGTCGGCCTGGGCTACAACGCCCTGCTCGTCCTGGTCAACCTGCACGACCAGAGCAGCATGACCATGCCTGACGTCTACTTCGTCAACATGGCCGTGGCGGGCCTGGTGCTCAGCGCCCTGGCGCCCGTGCACCTGCTGGGCCCCACCGCCTCCGGGTGGGCCCTGTGGGGCTTCGGTAGCGAGGCCCACGTCACGCTGCTGGTGCTGTTCAACGTCTCCTCCCTGGTGACCATGTACTCCACGGCCCTGCTCAGTCTCGACTGCTACATTGAGCGGGCGCTGCCGCGCACCTACATGTCCAGCGTCTACAACACGCGACACGTGTGCGGCTTCGTCTGGGGCGGGGCCCTGCTCACCAGCTTCTCCTCCCTGCTCTTCTACGTCTGCAGCCACGTGGCCGCCAGGATCGTTGAGTGTTCCAAGATGCGGGACGCGCAGGCCGCGGACGCCATCATGGTGTTCATCGGCTACGTGGTCCCCGCCCTGGCCGTGCTCTACGCGCTGGCGCTCATCTCGAGGATCCGGAAGGCGGACACGCCGCTCGACCAGGACGCGGGGAGGCCGGACCCCTCGGTGCACAGGCTCCTGGTGGCCACCGTGTGCACGCAGTTTGGGCTGTGGACGCCTCACTACCTGACCCTCCTGGGGCACACGCTGCTGGCCTTGCGGGGGAAGCCCGTTGACAGGCACCACCTGGGGATCCTGCTCTTCGCTAAGGACGTGGCGAGATTCCTGGCCTTCTCCAGCAGCTCCGTGGTGCCGCTCCTTTACCGCTACATCAACAGAAACTTCCCCAGCAAACTCCGGCGGCTGATAAAGAAAATGCACTGCGGGCGCCAGAGCTGCTCCCCGGACCAAGCAGGGGTACAGCAGGTGATGGCGTAGAGCCGGCGGCTGGGGTCACGGCCGCTCGCTGAGCGCGGGTCCTGGGGCCGCCACCAGTGCCCCGGGTGGGGTCATCGGACGGGCAGTCAACGGCGTACTTCCCGGAGGCACGGTCCGGGCCCCCTCCTGGGAGACAGGCGACCGACACTTGACCTGGATGCACAGCACTTTGTCACTGCCCGCTCTGTCACGCTCTTCCCCAGGACGTCACTGAGGCCGGGACCCAGAACAGCACGAGGCGTGTTCTCTTCAAGTTTTCTGCTTCCAGAGAGGCCGCTCTTAGGCCAAGGCCTTAGGCCGTGCGGTCCAAGGCGGGAGGGGCCTGGCATGAAAAACAGCTGCCTGCCCACCTGCTTCGGGGCGGACGCACTGCTCGGTCTCGGTCGTGCGGGGCCACACCCGCAATAGCGTCCTCAGCCTGGCCGCCTCCACCCTGGGTTTCTGAACGAAGTCAGGAGAATCCAAATCCAGTGTTTATATTCTGTGCCGGCAAAATACCCGATTCTGTCTCTTTACTTGCGCTTATAAAAAGATTCGAGAGAAGTCACCAAAGCCTGAAAGCGAAGGAAGCAACACGAAGGGCACTCCCGTTGGACGGACGGGCGGGCTCCTGCTACTGCAGGGTCGTGCTGGGTGGGGTGAGGCGGGGAGAGGCGCGTGCCGTGCCACGCGCACAGGCAGCGTGCAAATGCTTCAGAAGGACAGGGCCAGCAGTGTGGCTGGTCTTGGGCGGAGGGCCCTTAACTGGTACCCCTGCTGCCCTCCCAGGTGACCTCGGCTAACCGTCTTCAGTAGAAGCCAACTCCCCAAAGTGTGCACAAAACCCCACGCTAATAGTAAACCGAAGAGAAGAAAGCGCGGTGAGGATTTCCAACCTAACACAGAAACTGGGAGGGACCGCCTGGGGAGTCACAGGCCTGCAAGGCGGAGCCCAGTCTGGCACCGGGGCAGAGCGTGGGGCCACCACTGCCACCTTGCACCCGACAGCAGCCTGCTTCGCCAGACGCGGCGCGTGCCTGGATCCTTCCACGCCGCGTCCCGTAAACACCTGCTCTAAAACCGTGGCAGTAGAAGCCCCCTGCTCTCCTCGACACCATCCGCTCACCTGCACCCCGACGTCACGACGCACCACAGGCCTGCAGCCCCCTAACTGCACCTCTGAAACCCACAAAGCTCTAAAAACAGGAAGATTTGTTTGTCAAGTGTGCGGCACATTCCCGTGGTAGCAAACCTTGAGCTGAAGTGGTAGGAGAGCGCTTTTCTGAGGAAAGAGGAGTGTGAATGTGATTACGGGGCACTGGCCCGGCCCCACAGGGCCCCGTAACACGCAGCACACACAGCACGTTAACTGTGTGTGTGCAAACGCAGAGAACAGGCGAACGTAGGTCGTTTGCCAAAAGCAGCCGGAAGTACGCACACGCCTTAAGATGTCATTCCTATGTCACCCTACGCTTTCCTGCGGGGTTACGGTGACAGGGAGCGGCTGGGGCTGGCAGCTTGGGAACTCCAACCCGCGTTTAGGTTTGTGCATCCAAAAATGTGTTGCTTTTTGTCGCTGCTCAGCAATACACTGTATTTATTTATTTATTTGTTTATTTTTACCTTCTGACTCCCTTCACCCGTTTCTCCTCCCTGCCTCGGCAACCACCAATCCATGCTGCTTCCGTGGCCTTGGTTGTTTTTCTTAAAGATCCCCTGTACCACTGAGATCATGTTCTACTCCTCTTTGACTTACCTCACTTAGCACAGTGCTCTCCAGGTCCGTCCGTGTTGTCGCAAATGGCCAGATTTCATTTCTGTTTATGGCTAATATTCCGCGGTGCGGGTACTCGCCCCCGCCCCCTTCTTCTTCATCCACTTGTCCGTCAAGGGACACTCAGCTGCTTCTGTGTCTGGTCTGTTGTGAATAACGCGGCAGTGAACGTGGGGGTGCAGACACCATTCTGACTCAGTGCTTTTGCTTCCTTTGGGTAGACACCCAGAAGTGTGATCACTGGATGAGTAGAACCTGCTTTTGACTTTTGAGGCACGTCTGTACTGTTTTCACAGTGGCTGCGGCAGTGCGCATCCCCACCGGCGGTGCACGAGGACCCCTTTCCCGTACTCCCTCGCCAGCGCTCAGTGTCCTCTTGGTGGCGGCACCCTAGCAGGCGTGAGGAGCACCCACTGGGGTTCTGACGCGCTCCTCTGACGAGTGCCGCTGAGCACCTTCTCACGTACACGTTGGCCGTCTGCGTTCTTTGCAGAAATGTCTGTTCTCATCCTTTGTAATCACATTTTATTTTGCTACTGGGCTGTGGGAGTGCTTTATGTATTTTGGAGATTAGTCCCTTATCAGAGATATTAACATACTAACTTTTGACAACCTGAAAACTTAATTCTGACACATCTGATCCGAGGATGGCAAAGTGTGGCTCTGTGTTTTGCCACATTCCATTCAGGGAAATCGCTCCATTTGGCCTTGGTCTCTCGGGAGATTTAGCCCATGACTTGGTTGCCATTGTGTTTCTGTCTGCAGAATATATCCCCTCCGGGGTGATGCGATGACTGAGTTCAGAGTCTGCCTGTGCAGAAGCATGAAAATACACTGGACACCAGGGTCCTGGTCTTACTCGCCCCTGGTAGCTGTGAAATTCTGGACAGGTGGGGCCTAATCTACTTCCTGGCCAGTAAATCAGGGGCAGAATTAGAGAAGGTTCTGGGTTGCCTCTGTCCGTGAACGTGCTATTTCTACTGAAGGGCGCAACGCCCCTCTGCTGCAGGGTTTCCCCCAGTCCTGAAAGTCTCAGACCCGACCCCCTCCACTCCTCAAGCTGTGGGCTGCACGGCGGGGGGTCCCGTGGCCCTGCCTCCGCTGGGGAACTCTCGTGTTGGCCGAGCGAATGGCGGGTTGCAGGGTGCCCGGCATTGCAGCCGTGGGGCCTCTGACCTCACACACACCTGCTACCACGGAGTCTCAGTCCTCGTCCTCTCACGGCGGGTGGGCGGGGCTGGGGCCAGGGTCAGTCCCAGGTCCACCACACACGGCCAGGCTCTTGGGTCAGGAAGCCAGCACTGTTCTTAGGGGACACGGGACCCAGCAGGTGGGCTGGTTTGGGGTGGCAGTGCTATTTCAAATAAAAAGACCCTTTTCCTCGCTCATCTGTTCTGCTCTTTGCTCTAGAAAGAGCTCCTAGGAGAAGAGGGAGATCCCAAGGGCACAGAGCCGAGAGCCATGTGGGTCTCTGCCCACAGCCCCGGGAGTCCCTCACCCCGGCTGGGCTCCCCCAAACAGAAAAGGGGCCGAAAATCACGGTCTTGTTTTCACTTTCTCAGTGGCTTTGGTTGCAACCTGGCTTGTTTCTGGTGACCTCCGGGGGCCTGAGCGGGTCCCACCCGTGCCGGTGACAGAGGGCCCCCGGGGATGGGTGGCAGGCTGGGTGTCTCACGGAGACCCCTCCGCTGCTTTCGCGGCATCCCCGGGTCTCACGGCTTGACTGGCCTCTGTGCTCTTCTCCCCACGGGGGACACCTCCGCCACCAGCCCCATGTGCTTCCCACATGGCTTTTGTCCATCCACAGTCACCTGGGCTGGATCCGGGGCGACTGAACGCTGCCTCCAGCGCTCCTGCCACGTGGCCCAAGACACGGAAAGAATTCTGAGCTGAGAGAAGAGTGAGGAGTCGGTCGGGAAAGGCTCCAGTAGACTGTGAACGTGATCCTACGTGTTACACGTGTATTTTTTTAACTCACCAATCTCGATGTCTCCCAGTGGAAGTCTACGTTCCAAGGCCATTAATTTTGTTATCAGTCCCTCCTATTATACTTTTTAAGTTAATCTTAATTTTGCTAATCACAACAACTCATCTACCTTGTCGTGCTTATTTAAGATTCTAGAAGGTGAATTTAATTTTAGGTTGCTTCACGAAGGTTATAAAATTTATCACGGGAAACCAGATCTCCTGCTAACTGTGGCAGATGCATCGGCAAGGCAGACAGACCCCCCAGGCCTTCATAGAATGCACGTGATGAAGGATAAACCTGGAGAAAATGATTAAGAAGCTAAATTACAAGTGAAGTTCTTGGATTTAAAATCAGCTGGAGAACTGGGGGAATTTTTCATTTCTCATCCGTTGCGTCTCTTCCAGAGGTTGTACCGTTTGCCTCGAGTTCTACGTAAATCACGAAGAAGATCCTGCTGAAGAAAAACCCACACGTTTGAAGACTTAAGTCACTAGACACAAATCACCCACCTTCGGAATTCTCCAAATGTGTATTTCCAGGGGTGTATGACGTGTAGCAGAAACCGGCACGGGACTTAGCCTATTTCCCCTGGTGACACGGGGCCCGCCACTTTTCGTTACTCCTCTGCTGCAGTGGCACAGCAGCAGCGTGTACCTGCACGCTCCCTCAGGCAGGGCGGGGCGCACCCCGAACCCCGTGAAGACAGCCCCCCAAGTCTGGTAAACGTTCTTTCCCGAGAACGGACGTTTGACAACTGCTGACGCGTCCCGAGGGCCGAGGACAGAACTGAGTGGCCCCGGCGGCTCCGTGTGGGAGGGCCTGTCCCCCCGCGGGAGGTCCTCGTCCCCCCGGGCAAGAGGGGAGCGTGCCGTGCACACGGCGAGTAAATCTGAGTAACGAACAGGGAGTCTCTGGGAATGAAAGAATCCGAATTTACCCATCTTATGTTAATAAAGAACGCGAGGCGCAAAGAATTTTACGATTTGCCTCATTCCGTACGCGTGTAACACTGAAGTCCCGGGGACAAGCATTTGTCGAGTGGCTATGACATTATCGCCCCTCCTCCCGGTATTTGAAAACCGCTTACTGGGAGGCTCTTGCGGGCCCGTGTGCCACTAACATCACGTGAACCGAGGAAACGATACTACCGTCCGAAATGCTGTGAAGTCAGAGAGGATACGTTTCCACGTTCCCGCAGGGAACACGGGACTCCGACCCGCTCTGCAGCTGGGAGCGCAGGCGTGTGTGCGGGGCGCCACCTAGTGGCCGCCGGCAGAG